GAGTAGGTTTTGGAGAAGTCGGGATCGAATCCGAGAATTATTGATGTTGGAGAGAAGTTCCGAGTGAATCCGAAGTTTTCCTGCCCACAGCGGAAGATCAAAATCCCACCACCAGCTCAGGTATGTTTGTGAAGCGTCACGCGCCACGAAATTATCGGAGGCGTGAACTGTGTCGTTGGTTCCTGGGGGAGAGTGTTGTTGTTATGTCAGGATGAGACTCACAAGGCTGAGCGAGTGCAGGAGGATCGATCGATTTCGATTGAGGCGGCTATTGTGCGAATTATGAAGACTAGGAAAATGTGTAGTCATCAACAACTAGTGTCGGAGGTGCTCAGTCAATTGTCATTTTTCAAGTAAGTTCGAGAGCAATTTCGTGGCGAGTGACGTTTTGCTGAGCTCAGACCCAATCCGAAGGTTATCAAGCAGCGTATTGAGCATCTGATCGAGAGAGAGTATCTCGAGCGTGATGAGAATCAGCCTAACGTGTATCGGTATTTGGCGTAAGGGATGAATAAATACAACACTCCACAGCTACTGGGTGCTGCAGTTCTGATTAGTAATACTATTGCGGTGTCGGTGGTGATGACAATTGTTTTTGCAATGAGAGTAGCGTTCAGTAGAGGCCTTCAATGGAAACGGTAGTTCCTCGTATAGCACGGTAGGAGGAGGGCTTTCGTCAGTCTCGGCGAACTGATAGTTATTGTATCAGACAGAGTAGAGATCTTTGCTACATCTGGGGAGGAGATCGTGAGCGATGGGAGTGCTAGAGTGGACACTGTGGAGGGCAGTTGTAGGTTACTGAGCAGCTGAGGTGCCTAGAGCGTCGTTGCATTCTACAGCAGTGGTTACTGAAAATTCAAATAACTTTGAGAGAAATTGTATGGGAAACTATAGCCACTGAATTGACTGGAAATTCCACATCATGCAGACATCCCCGTGTTAATCTTGTGTTGACACTCTTTTTTTCAAGAATCGGTAAGAGAGTACAGTACGCGCCATCTAGAGACGGGAAATACATGTGGGGAGGTAACTTTTTCTACACAACGACTTTGAAGCTGAAATTGTTGAATGCGAGGCCCTCTAATACAGTTATATTGCATGGAACCTGTCTGCAATAGATTTTGGACAAAAAATTTTACGGCACTTTTTTGCACGGGTCCGACCACGGTATTGGTAGCCACCACTTCTACTAGAAGTGGTGGCTACTGTTCCCTGCCCCCCCGACTTGTATAGTGTTGGCGACGGTCATAGAGTCTCTGTGGCTTAGTTTAGTTTACATTCCAGCTGCTGTCTTCTTCAATACTGTCAACGCGGCATTGAACGAAGTTGAACAGTTCCCTGCATCGATTACTTACATGGGTTTCATCATCAATCTGGTACGGCGAGAGTCTCCCTAAACGCAGATCAACCATCGGAGTTGACGTCGCGTTGTGTGTTTCCTGTACGAATCTCGTAGTGTCTCCTTTTGTGCAATTGGCGCTTTACAGCGGATCATCAGCCTGTGCTAGTTGTGATATGCCCTCTACAGAGCTGTTGAGAGAGATTATGCATCTGCGTTACTTTCAGGTGTTTGAGCCGTTGTTCAAGAGGAGTTACACAGTCGTTGCGGAACTCATCCATAGATGGTTGCGGTAAGTTGTCTTCTGCTGATCGTCTCGGACACGTCGATTTCAGAGCTGCGAAGGACGACTCGTCACTTCGTCAGTTCGTCATCACTGTGGTGACTTTCGGCATGTACTCGAGAAAGTCTACGGTGGTGCTATTGAGAGTTTCCTGTTGACTATTAAGGTGGTGAGTTGGTTGGAATTTTCGGTGATGAACATTTGTAATTGTTGACCTTAGAAGTGCCGAGTTTTGGTCCATGATATAGTTGGAGAACTGCGGCAGGAGTGGTAGGTGATGATGGTCCTCCGATTCTCTAGCAAATGTGCCTTCACCACTGCCGGTACGTGGTGGTGTGCTCATTGGAGTCTATCATAGTATAATTCTTAATCGGCAGATGAGGAGGGAGTCCCCACCATCGCATGCATGAAATGATAATGCTTTCTTGTTGCACTGTTGCGTGATACTTTTGTTTCCATGTACTGCTAGTCGTTGTTGAGTGTGTAGATGACTCGGCTTCCTCGCTGGGGTTTTCAGAGGAAATTCTTCCCTTTGTTAGATTTTGTTACCATATAAGTCTGTCTTAATGTCTCACGATCATCAACTTGAACATACTCTGCTAGTCGGCGCTGTCACAGTGGCGGTGGGTCCCTCCTCTTCCTCCTGCTTAGTGCTGGGACATTGGTCGATCAGGTCGTTGGCGCTTCTGCGTTTGCTGCCAGGAAGTGGTGGGTGAACTCGCACATCGCCTTGAGGAAGGGACGATCCTTTAAAGCGAGGTTGATTGACAAAAGTAAGCTGCTACTGTTGCTGAGCCGTCGGAGGGCTGCTCATCCACTGTATTTCAGCTGACGTCAGTCATGATGTTCGTCGTTTCACTTTCGCCTTACCGCACCAGAACGACATCCTCGGCCTCCCCATCGGTCACCATGTAAAGCTCACAGCGAGCATGCCCAATCCAAGGACTGGTAAGAGCCCTCTTCCCAACATATTACATGCTATCATCGTCGTCGTTATTATGTAGGGTTGGGGCCTGTTCAGTCGGTATCACGACCATACACTCCTACCACACTAGATGACCGTCACGGGTCCTTCCAATTAGTAAGGTCCAGGCTTGTGTTGGGATAGCTCATCTCGGATGGCTAGGTTATTAAAGTTTACTCGAGCGGTGAAGATGAGCGTCATCCCGATGGAGGTTGGATGTCGCAGCATCTTGATAGGATGGTCCCTGGCAAGGACTCTATCGATGTCACTGGTAAGCTACACGGGTTGAGCAGTTTTGAGCCGAGTAGAAATTAGTGTTCCTGCTTAGGTCCTGTGGGCCGCATCACTTACAAGGGCAACGGCATCTTTTCCATAGTCCGCAGTGAATGCCAGAGCTGTAATGGTATCAAGAATGTCGGTATGATCGCTGGAGGTGAGTCCGGAACCTACTGGTCTTTCAACCATCAGCATCTGCTTTAGGTACTGGTATCACGCCTCATTATCAGATCATTCAGCATATCTTGAGAACGAAGGATAGTATGAACATGTCCCTGCTGTGTGCGAACAAGACACCAGATGATGTTCTACTCGGTCCTGAGCTCGCTATGCTTGCTGACAAGCATCCTAATCAGTTCAAGGTAGCCTCAGTAGCTTCCAACGGATTTGCTAGTACTCCTCGTCGTGTAGGTTCATCACACTGTGGAGAACGCCTCGACTAACCCCAGTTGGAGTGGCTATGTTGGCCGGATTACGAAGGATATGCTTAGGGATACCATGCCTAAGCCTGGTGAGTCGCTCCGTCCTTGTGACCATGTACTCCCCCTGTGTTAGGTCCGGAAACGCTGATCATGCTGTGTGGCCCGAAGCCTATGAATGAGGCAGCTAGAGACATGCTCAAGGAGCTTGGTTATGATAAGATCTACTATTAAGGTGTCTCGTCGCAGATTGCAGCTGGCATATTATCGCCTTATTAGCGCAGAACTCCCGGCTCGGGTGCGTAAGGTTTTTCATATCTAATCCGAGATATCAGTGCGTTACTATTAATCTGCCTCCGACTGTGTTCGTGACTACTGGTCGCGGGAGTTACCACTTTTCACAACCGTGGCGACTTGAGTTGGTCCGTAGTGGAGGGCATGCGAGTACGTGTGAGACTCCCTTGAGTTTATTATGAAATGCATCGTTAGCTGCCGCTGATGCTCGCTCATCAGTTGATGTGAAATGAAGAGATGCGGGACAAGACTTTCATCGAGAACAAAACATGAATTCTATCCTGTTACGAATGGGATCGTCTCGTATGTCTCGTTTCTGGTCTCGATGATGACAGTGCGCTCCATATGAATGCGATAATAGCAATTCAATATTGGCTCCGTCATCGGATTGGACTGATTATACGCTACGATAGCAAACCGGAAGCGGCGCTGATCAACATTTCTTCCAATCAAGTGCGGGATACTGATATTTTTCCATTTATTGATGGCGGACACTCGACGCAACACCATATCTCATACAAGGGCATGATTCATCATCATGTCAATCCAACTTGATACTAGTCCTTGGCTCCTAGAAGTTGAAGCATGTCCGAGCTCAAGCGTGAGGCAATCCCACCCGGTCCTCATCAGTCTGTTGGTTGGGTTTGGCATGCCATCCTATTTTCATGTTAATGCCAGGGTCGCGCCGACGTTCAAACGTCATCCAAAGTGCAACACACGCGATGAAGAGGATGAACCCAGAGGCTGCGTACCTTCACGCGGAACGCAAAAACGTCAAGTCTCGAAGTCCCCCATGAGCGCTCCGGATGGCATCTGGCCATATCCAGACCAACGCCGTGGATTAATTTGAATCGATTCTTTGGGGGGTATATGAGAAGACCCGTAGACCCAGCTTGACCGACATCACAGCCGCAAGTGTGCGTCCACGACGGGCTGCTCCATCGAGAGTGTGCTTCTCTGGAGCCCCACCAGTGTGTTGTTTCACCCTGCCGAATGACACACTACGGCAGTCCTCTCTTCTGTTAATATACCTACTCCCCACCAATAGGCTGCTGCTTGTTGTCGGAGGCCTTGGCAGGAGCGATGTTTTCCTCGAGGCACGAAGTCGACACCGCGACTATCTGTGAGGTCGCTTTCTGACTCAAATGCTGTATGTTGCAATCTCACCGAGTGTTTTTGATTGTGGTTGACGGACACGTTAGCGAGTTTGACTTCACGGGAGGTGGCGCGGCCGAGGAGCGTCTCAACGATGGTTCTCGCCTCGAGGCCAATCTCGCATATGTGGTCAGGGTTCGCTACATTCGACGACGCCCCTAAGTGGCGCATCCGGAGATCGACCCCAGAGGAACACTGAATGATATCCCTAGAGGCCAACACTGGATGATTCCCGTCAAGGGGTTATTTTTCCCAGTAGTTCATATTCAAAGTCATAATACCACCATAAATATATATCAAGGTTATTATGAAGTTATACTTGTTAAATGCATATAAAGGGATATGGCTATGAGTAGTGGGGACACTCCACACTTCGTGAACGGAGGTGGGATGGTTGTAGTGAACGACGCACGACTCCGTGTTTCCCTTATAAGAGTCTCACCATCAGCTATTCCACAGGATCCTCGCAGTGACTCACAAAACGCCGAGGGTAAGACGACCTCGATCTCGCCAGTCTTTGGGGACTGCCAAGTTACTTTTAGAGATCTTCTCAATGGCTATCACCCGTTCAACGATATCAGGACTGCAAACGACGCCGCAGAGGAGGGCGTGGATATTCTCCCGGCAACCTGAGCACTGTCCGAGCCCGGACGTGGGGGACTCCTGCACGAATGCAAGGGCGTGGGTGAACCTGAGTATGGGAGTAAGGAGGTGGCAATGACTCTGTTATCGTACACTTCCTCCACAGCCCATAGCTGCCTCTCAGCACAGCAGACCCCTCGAGTCCAGAATGCACATGGGCTACCCAAAGTGCTGTCCGGGTCACTGACAGATCGGTCACTCGGAGCCTCGCCGGTGAGGGGGCACTGTCGCGTTGAGTGCGGCGAACGACTATCAGCGTGCCCTGTTGAGCAGCACAATTTGGGTATCCTACTCGGGGACTTTGATGAGGCTGGTCCCGTCATCGTGGAAGCTTATAGACTCGACGGGCCCGGAGGCATCCTGAGAAGCGGGCACTGACAGCACTATAGGGAAGGGCATCCCCACCAACTCTACGAGACTGATACCCTCTGCAGTGACCTCTGCCCAACCCTCAGCCATCCATGTCCTTGGATGATGATACTGCTGGGAGGAGGAGGCGTCCAAACCATCCATCGCCGATATGGGTGTGGAAAGGAGGAAGACGAGCAGCACCCATACAGTCGTCATTATGATGCTATTCACGAGGAGGGGAAGTAGTATTCCCGACTCGGGAATCCTTAGATGCCTTATAGACGTGGCAATGCTCTCTGAATTTTCTATTGACTCAGTCCAAGCCTCCATACGAGGAGCAGGTCAATGACTTCTAACTCAACACTTGAGAATGCAGAGCCAACTGAAACTGGCGTTCACCAACAGCAGAGACACACACACCAATGCGAAGATGATGCTGATGATAAAACAGCTCATCCTCAGGCCTTGAGACCCTTCATTTCCAGGAAGGCATCCTGATTGGGTTCTCTACCGAGGAACTCCTTGAGCATCTCCGAGGCGTCTACAGCACCACCACGGGACAAGATGGTCCTGACAGGGGAGAGTGTTGGAATGTATGTTTGCTTTGATAAGTCGAACTCACTACATTATGGGAGCTTACACGTGACAACAACTAACGAGAAATTCCTCGCGATTTCCATATTGTCACCATGTAGTTAACCATGTGCATATATCCCCCCAACCCTGACCGCGAAACCCACCTCCTATACTCCATCCCCGTCTCAGGATTCAGGAGGTTGTTGGGCTTCTTGAACTTGCTCAAGAAAAGATCATCAGCGAACACTTCAGCCCACAAGTAGGAGTAATATCTAAATCAACAACGTCGAGCTGACCCATGGGGCCACCCAAAGGCTTAGTACTTTGCATCATAACCGCACATGTGGCCGAAGGTAGCGGGAAAGTGACTGCCCTCTTGTTGCCTCACACCCATAGTCTGCAGGGATATGTCGTTGAAGGTCGAAGTTATATCACTCGGTGGGGCCACTGTAATAGACTCAAAAAATATCCGAGATCGCACTCACGGCTTACCTCCATGAATGGTCTGATCGAAGTTGTCAAAGACCAACTGCCTCTGAGTGTTGATGCCCTCATTGGCATCCCGCGATTTGATCAGCTTCTCGATGAGGTCGTCGGGGAGCGGCTCCTGGGTCTTGTAGTGGCGCGATAAACGCTTCAAAATCTGAATTAAAATCAAATGAACTAGCAGTGGGCGCGCGCTTTTTACATCCTTCTCCCAACACCAATTCTCCAACATCTGCGAGGGGCATTCGACGAAGTCCTGCTCCACACTGGTGCCTGCGGGGAGGCAACTCCTGGGTGTAGACCGGCAGAAGTCTTACCAGCAAACTCGGCAAATTTGACGTTTTCAGCGCAGATGTGATGCATGCAATGACCGAACTCGTGGAAGAAAGTGACGACCTAAACAGACCGGGAAGGTTGCTCTTGGTGGTGGTGGTGATGGCGAATACTACTTCATCGTGAGTGAGGAGGGATGGTTTCTTTGGAGTAGACTTGGTGAAGTTGCACACTAGGGAGCAAACGCCATAACTCCTCTTACCATTGTAGACGACATTGGGCTGTAGAGGGAACAGCGCCGCATGAGAGTACCTATCGAGTGGAGGAGATACCACGGACGTCAAGTCGACGAGAGGAGGCCCACTTGCCGTCCCTAGGGAACATGTCCATGTAACAATAGCCGATAAAGTGGCCATCAGCGGCATCATTCACAGCCAAACACACGACGTCTTCATGCCAAACGGGTTGGTCGGTGACCTGATACGACGATGGAGTCCTGTGTCTTTCGAATAGCCCCAACGGTGGTGAGTTCAAACCTACTCTGATGAATTTCAGACCGAGAATGCTCTCATAGAGTTCCAGGAGAGTCTTAAGGACGTGTTCGAATGGGAAGTACTCCTGTATAAGGAGCTGATCTGGATAGGGCGTAGTAAAGCAGGGTTTCCCAGCAGCAGCAGCAGACTCACCAACAGAATAGTTCTTTTCCTCGACGAGATTGCGGTAGTAGCTCAGATCGTAGGAATCGAGAGCTTCTTCCATCGACGCGCCCTGAAGCGAAGGAGGAGGAATGTTGACGGTGACTGGTGACACGATGAGACCCTACATTGTCCTCCTTACGAAGTTCCTTCAAAAGTTTCATGTCGCTCTCACCACGGGGCCTGATGACGATGATGATGGGTTTAGCAATATATGAAAAAGATATCCTATTACTTCACTTTATCCTCAATACCGTGGAGGAAGTCTCTGACCGTTGGCGCATTCTTGGCCATTTTAAGCTCAGTGGCAAAATCAGCATGCGAAGGAAACCCCAAGATTCCAGCCTGCCACCAGGGACAGTAAGGGCACCCCCCTTGTCGAAGTCGCTCACCCTCTCCTTCCTCAGCTTCACGAGCTCAGCAAGGATCTCCGTATTTTCATCAGCACAACGATTGTTGAAGGCGCTGAGAGATGGAAGAGGTATTAAAATTCAAATGATTTTGGATGTCTACAAGTCCATTTTTCTCCTGGTCTCACGGACCTTGCACTTCTTGGCTATGGGGATGTAATGGGGGTACTTTAGTGTAACCTGAGGATGAGGGAAAAATGGAGGTGCCGGGGATCGAACCGGGGTAGTACCTTGTATTTGCCGGACTCTGTTTTATCCAAGGTCTCGAGGAAATCGTCGGGCATACCTTCCAACTCCTCCTTACTGAACTCCAGTACCTAGCAGGGACCCCGATCAACAGGAATGCAGAAAGTTGCTAAGCAGCAAAATATAGAAATCAACATCCTCAGAAAATAGAATTGTCTACGGGGACTCATTTATACGTCTTCCTAGTCGATTCCAATATGCAATGAGAACGACTTCGACGAGTCAATACAGATTGTTAATGGAGTTCAGATTATTGTGGTAGTGATTATTACAGTGTTTTCCTCGCCGAGGTTTTTACTGAACTTGATTGAGAGCTCGGACATCCTCTTCTTTATCTTCTCAATTTCCTCCCTAGTAGCCTCATCCAGATGAAGGCCATTACGTTTGCCTTCCTTGATTGAACGATCGAGCAACCTTGTAAGTGATATACTCCCCCCCCACCGGCTCCCTCACAAGGCCCCTACCTTTCACTCTCCGAATCCATCTCAGGGTGCTGGCCCTGCAGGGCCACTAGGACATCAAAGACGTCCTTACGCATGGACATCTCCACGAGGTGCTCCGATAGTTTCTATAGAGCAACATTCAGCAGGGGAGGGGCTGATAATGGGACGAAGATGACTCACTTGATCGGCCTCGGAACTCGCTTCTCTGACCTCCTTATCGGGGGAGACGTTTTGAAGGAATTCCATGGAACTGTAACGGGGGTAAAAGTCCACCCAAAACTCGTTGGGGACTCCGAGGACGTTTTCGACGGTGATATCGGAACCTGGGAAGAGGGAGATGGTATTTGGTGGGAAAGGTGTGGTATTACCTTTTAAAGAGGCCAGACGGTTGTGCATGTCTGTGGACTCCTTGATGAGGTCAGCGGTCTGAGACTTGATGTCATCGACTGTGAGATTGAAGTTGAGTCTGTTGAGGGAAGTGCTGAGAAGAGGAAGGCGATATGAAGTGTGATTCCAGCACGGTATAGGGGGGACTCGACAGGAGCCTACTACTAGTGGGAGATCGGTATTGGTCTCTCGAGGTTAGTCCACAGTAGAGCTAGTATGAGTACAATGAACGCCACAAGACGATATGCACCATCGAGGCCCACACTGAGACGGGCATCTAGTAGTGAGAGGGGCTCCCAAGGGAGGACCACGATGAACTCACCTCATGAATCGGGTTAACGATGGGCGCAGGAAGGTGGGGTTCGATAAGGGTCGAAGGGCCGCTGTAAACATAAAAATATGCTGAAGTAAAATGAACGGTTGGGATCGTTTATCATCCATTGTGTGCGCTGTCCCCCCTGAGAGGTGAAGGTGGAATTGTTGTGGTACACAAAATTGGAGGTCTCTGGAGGTGCTTGCAATGGTGCTGAATGATGACACTCTATTCTACACTAAGTAACGCCATGTTGTTCGGTAGGAGCCTACGGGAAAGACTTTCGTAGTAATTCCTAATCGCTCAATGTAGCATGGCTTCCCACTGAACTGGTTTAGTAAGGGCTATGCTGGATCGCTGGTGAGACAACTTGTCTCAGACAAGGGGCCATGTATGTAGTAGAATTTGAGGGGGATGTTGATAGAGCTTGTGGAGTTGTAGGATGTAAATCCAACAACGTTTTGACGCCCGACGGAGCAACCAGATGCTCGTCAAAGCGTTTATCCTTTTCTTATAGTTTTTAACATCACGAAAATTGTCGCTACTTAGGAAGACAGTCCTTTTCCATATACTCGAGTAGACTGACAGAGGATCAAAAGCGATGTCTTTTCGGCCTCTAGAGATGACATCATCACAGACTATGCTCGGAAGTTATCGAATCAAGGCACACGAGATATCGATCATTTGGGCGCGCGCGGTTTCACGGTTTCGCGGACCTTGCGTCCGTGTTCACGAGGAGGCTTGCTTCCTTCACGGGGGAGAGGAAGGTCTTCGCTGGGAATCTTGAGGACGGTGTGACACCCGTTGGCGCCTGCTGACCTCGCTCGATCGCTGGCTGCCAGTTTGGTCGCCTCTTATGCCTTCAGCACTCCTGAGGAGGACCCCGATATGTGGGGCATTGAGTCCATGTGAGTGGCTTGTAACTCTACGGGATTTGCTCTTATCGTATGTCGGAAGGATAGTGTCGGTCGGTGTCTCCTAGGTGAACTTTGAAACACGTCATTATTGTTGTCGGTGATTTCCTACGGGGCCGCTTACTGTCAACGCAATTAATGAGGTCAGTGAGGCTGCTGCTACTGCTACAATAGCATTCTCACGCGGTCGGCACTACTGTTGTTCTCACCCTCCTCATTGTAGAGACTGGAGCACATTGTTGATGCTAAGTGAGGGGAGCGGGCATGGAGTTCAAGGTGAGGTAACTATCACTTGAGTGAGTTCACATAAGCGTGTTGAGATCGTCAGATGCAGGTCTAGTAAAGGAAAGGGTAAGGGGCTCGGAGATTATTACCCTGGTGTCAAAGGCAACTACTACAGTAGTCGTGAGCAGTAGGTGACCAAGAGTGCCCCAGTGCTGGTGAGGGTTAGGTGATAGTAGAGATCCATTGCCTACTAGACAGAGGACGAGGTCCTGGAGATGGGCACTACGATAGACGGCGATGAGTGTGATGAGCACTTACCAGCATGCTAAGATACAGTGCTTTTTATTATTACTACTGTTTTGTAGCTGTTGTGATGTCAGGTCGGGTTCCGAGATAGTTATTTTGTCTTTGTATTCCTCATGGCTTCGGGAAGGTGTAGTCTGTATCTCACTTGTGTTGTGTTGTCAAATGCTGGTCGATGAGAAGCGGGCGTAGTTGTTGTTATTGTTTCAGTTGGGTTGTTCTTTTAGTCTCGTCACGCATCACCGTCTCGTTGTTATTCGTGGTATTTTCTGTGCACAATCCACGACTTTTATTCCGGTCAACGATGTCTAGCTAGGTTTCTGTGTAAACCTAGAGAAGCGCTTCGGCGTTTGTGGCCCATCTTGCGTTGTGGCGGCTGCGGTCATCCTGTTGGTCATCATTGTGAGGTTGGCCGACCAAAGCGACAAGTGTTGAAAGTGGGTGAGATGGACCCCCAAAAGATCGTTAAGGAAGAGCTGTCCGATGACGAGCTCGTTGATTTCGGTATACAGTTGGCTCAGCTTGCGAGCGTTGCTAAAAGCAACAGTAGGAAAGTATATCACCTCCATTTCGCTAAGGTAGGTCTAGAGAGGGAGGAGTAGGTCCGGATGATGTGGTTCATTTAGGACTTCCTTATGGAAGCACTGGAGAGGCAACAAGGAGCTGTTGCTGCTGGAGGTGGTGGTCGTGGCTCAGTGAATGAGAGCTGCGAAGTAGAAGGCATTGTTGATCTTGGTAGGTGGGGGAGGTAGGTCCGACTTGGTGGTATGATGATGTAGATGCGAGCATTGATGCTTCGGATAGTCTACGAGCACATTTAGCGGCAGTTCTTGTGACCTTGGGGGAAGACCCTAAAGTTGTGAGGGAGAAGCTTGGTCCATGCGAAGTGGAGGAGGAGAAGGAGCTGATAGAGGAAGAGGAGGGCATGCCCGAGGTGGGTCCTTGTTGGTGGTGTCGACTTTGTGAGGATGGCATTAGGTTGGGGTCGCCACGGATAACGGTGAGATTAGCGTAGGGGCGAACACCTCAGCCGCAGCTGTTCGGGAATATATAGCTTTTGATTCTCCTCACAAGCCGACCTCAATAACGGAGGTGGGTCTTCTTCTTCTTATGGTGATTTCTAATACACTACTATAGTGCTCTCAGAATAAGCGTTCTTGCATATCGAGAGAAGCTATCAAAGGTGATGTTTTGCCGTGTTATTGTCTATACCGTAAATCGCCTTAGTCCTGCCACCACGGTCACCTGTTATCAA